CATAAAATGGAGTACTCGTAAACTATAGGCGCTTTACAACTTTTTTTTTTGTTTAATAAATATTCTGGCGAGGATAAGAGTTAGGACATTACAAGATAGTGGATATAATTTAAAAAATAAATGGAAATAAATTATTATATTCAATGTATATTATTTCTAAATAATGTATAAAAGTTACAATTTGTCAAGTTATTTCATTTCAAGTGTTCTCTAAGGTATTATAAAAAGTGCTTGAAAATATTACTAAAGAAAATAAAAAGTATACTTTTTACCAACTGAACAGCTGTCGTTTCACATTAACATATTTGTTTAACAAAATATGCTTCTCTACACTTTCGTTCTAAGATCCTGGAGTCCTGCATAATTATTTTAAGGCCAATAAATTATATGATCAAATGTTATTTTATTTCAAATTTAACACAGTTGAATTTAAAATATTTCAAAGTTCCATTTTTCCGGCCCAGGATTCTTTTACAAACGATCAGTCTGGATAATACTTCTATATAATACTTCTATCGTAGAGAGCAGGTCGCCGTGACCAGGTTAAGAATAGGACTCACGAACCTAACTCATTTACGTCTCATCAATAAGCAGCCACCACCAAATTGTCAACACTGCAATAGCCCTCTCATGATCAATCATATTTTCCAATAATGCACTTATTAAACTTCAATCCTAAATAGATTATTTCTAAAACCGGATATATAACCAGTGTTAAGCAACAACGAATAAAAAATAGAAAACATTGATAAAATTTTCTTATAATCCATAAGCTATTAAATAAAAATAAATATAATTTTTATTTTATTGATGTTTATTTTTTCATATTTATTATAATATATTATATTTTTTATATGTTTTAAATATCTTTTTCAATTATTACTCTATCTATCTATTATTAATTTTTGATTATTCATTTTTTTTTTTCTCCTCTAAAGAGTTTACAAATAAAACCGACTCTTAGATGTTGATGACCCTAGGGTTTTACGCCTTAAAGCCTAAATAAACAAACAATACTACTTCTATTCAAGGAGGACCTGCTGTATATGGTAGTTTATTTTGTGTATTTAAAATACAAAATAAAATATATTATTTGAATTTATTATCTTTGAAAGAATATTCAAATAATTTTTTTTTTTGTATTTTAAGAAGAAAATATAATTACAAACAATTTATTTTGTATTTTACTTCTTAAAATATAAAAAATGTTTTGTATTTTAAAATATTGTAATTGAAATGCTACCATTTCTGAACCCTAAATTGGAACAAAGTACCGAAGATTTGTGCTTATAGCATTTTTTGTTTTGTTTATGTCTGCACTGTCCCTTTCTCAAGATATATTTCAATATGAATATCTACTACGTTTTACAACTTGATAAAAAATTATTACATTACCAAAATCTGTGTCAGCCTATATTCAAACTATCTCAGCTGATCCCAACTATTTAACTTATTTAAGCTATCAACCTATCCCACGTTTTTATTATTTTTTTGGGGGGGGAGGGGGGGGGAGGAATTGGGGGAGGTTGCTACGGAAAAAGTGAGTCCTAGAACTCACGATGCCTCAATAAAGTGGTCATCTGACATTTCACTCAGTGTGAAAATGGAAAAACCATTTTTAGGCTGAAAAACTCTGTGGTTAGGGCGTGACCATGATTGTGATTGCCTGACCGTTGTAATATAAATAGCAATCGTCCCGTTTCACAAGTAAAAGTTCCTATTTTTTTTTCTTCTTTTTTTTTTAGCCAGTCATGGTAGTGTATATGGGCATGTACATAGAGAAGGATAGTTGGGGTGATCAGTCAAAAATAAATAATAATATTTATTTTAACATTTGCCGAAGTTTCGACCTGAAGTTGTGGCCTTCATCAGGGCCGAGAAAAGTAAAGAACCAGATAACAATTGTTATAAGAAACATAAACAATTTAGGTTAAAAAAAAAAGCAAAATGAAAGTGAACATTAAAGTAAAATAAAGTAGGTAGAATAATGACAATAACAAGAACTAAGAAATAAATAATAATAACGGTTACAAAGTGTGGACTAATTAAGTAAACATAAGTACTAAAATGGTAATCTTAGAATAAAATGTGAAACAGAGAAAAGGAATATGATGTTATATAAGACAAAAATAGAAATAGAAAAGTTGATATATTGTAAATAGAATAATAGTTGAATAGAAAATTGAGATATTGTGAAGTCTATCAAAATGTACTGACTACGTATAAGAGTATAAAGAATATATATGATTTGCTTCTAATATTTCGAATTTAAAAGTATTTCATGTATAAAAACAATACAATATGCTAAAGAAAGTGCTTAATTTATTAGCAACTCAAGTAATATAAAATTTACTGTTAATAAAACGTACTGTCGTTGAATTTCGGGTGATTCCATTCGAACGAAAATATTTCCGATCAGTGGCCTGATAATTAAAAAAAAAAAATAAATTGGAATGTTGAATTCCAAAGCTACCTAACTCTACATCCATATTTAAATCTACTTGTTTTTGAACCAAATTATTTTATCTTATGATTTGCTAATACTTTCTTTTTCTTTCTCTTTTTCTATATGCTTTTAAGCTAAGAGGAGCCCCCAGCATTTAAGGCATACACCACGGTCTCTTGCTAGCACTTTAATATCGCCCAGAGTTTTCCCTCTTTCTTGACTTAATCATTGGAAACAATAAAAATCCAAATATGAATAGTAAAAAAATCATTTCGGCAGTCATAATTCTGATTAGGTGCTTATCTTTGGAATGGTTTCCACTTTGGCGAAAAATGTCGCTTTTTATGGGGTTATAAATGGAGCAATAGGTGTTGGAAAACCTAACTGTTGAATTCCATTCTTATCAAATCATAAAAATGGGAAAACTAGTCGTAAAATCCTGAATGGTTTCTATCCCGAATGAAATTACTAACAAATATCTTGTTTATCGACTCTTTAGATTGTTCAGACGACAAACAAATATTCCATAGTCGATAATCAATACCAAGCCAGGAATATTTTTTACTCTTGTTTCCAAACAATATCCTAATCATCCTGCATTGGGAATAACAAGTCATCCCTTGTACTTAAGCTCAATTGCTATGGATACATTGTTTTACCGTTTTTAGTCAGTTTGATTTCATGGTACTGATTTAAGATACGATAAGGTTTTGTATAAGATACAAAATAATATTTTATTTTATGGAGTAGACCAGAAAATAGTAATCTGATCAAATTGACACTGGCCGAAACGTACTTCAAAGTAAAGTTAAGAACGAAATTAGTAGGGCATTTGAGGAAGCAAAAGACCAGATAGAGGAACTAAAGTAAATAGCAGAAAAAGAAATAGGCCTTGAAAAATAGTATTACAAGTTCCAAACAAACGTAAATTTCAGATTATTTCACAGGAAAATAGTTTAAAAATAAATTTCTGAACATCCTTCGTCGTAAATCTATGACTTCCTGTTCTACAGTATCCTTTAATAACACCCTACTTATCCCTGTTGAACAAATCCGATACCTAGGATTCCACCAGGACAAACGTCTCACTTGGAATCCTCATACATGACTGAAACGACAAGAAACTGCTGGATGTTTCCGCTTAATCCAGCACTTACAAAAGAAACGCTCTAAACTTCCTATTAATTACAAAAGACTCATATACATCACTATAATAAGACTTATTTGGACTTACGGAGTTGAGCTATGGGTCTCCATTAAATCATCAAGTTCCTCTCGTATCCAATCCTTATAGTCTAAAATCGTTCGTAAAATCTTCAATGCTCCTTACTTTGTCACAATTAAGATAATCCATGAAGACCTTAATGTTGCGTATGTTTTCGATTTGGCTCAATCCAAGTAAGTACCCTTCCATAATGAACTTCATAGCCGAATCCTCTTGTTTCTACCTTAACACAGTTCCTCTACGTCATGGTTTATCTCTTGGATATTTAGCTGTCGATTCAGCGCTTAATATATTTTTATGGATAAGATCATAACCAACCCTAACTTAATCTTACTTGCCCAACCGTCGCGAATTTATTACTTCAGCTTGTTCTGCGTCCAAAAATTAAGCATTTTTAAACTGAAAAATGCTACAAATTATTCCTATACCATAGGACCGAAAATTCGATTTAATTGATTATTTCCGAAGATCTTGAAGTGTTGTTGGCCACGATTCCCAATCCTGAAAAACGCTGAAGTGTTTGTTAACTATAACCTTGAATATTCATAGTTAGCATTTCTCGCTTATAACTTTGTCTTTATTTTATTTTGAATTTTAATTCTATGAATTATTACTAATGCCGGATAATTAAATTTCTCTTTGTATCTAAACGAATTTATTTTTATGTCTAAATCGGTGGGTTCACCACCGTTTCTACTTACTACTTATCGTATATTCTGTTCTATCCGTATGTTTTTTTTTTCGAGACCTAATTCTCGTAATAATTTAAAATTGTATATAGGTATGCCTGTGTTATTTTACTTTATTTTAAAGTTTATTTGTATTAATCGTGTCTAATTTTTTATTAGTACTTTTTTTGTTATTGAAGTTCATAAGAAAGAAGATTCTAATACCATAAAAATATTCTAGTTCTAAATTAAATACAACTGGATGAATAACGAAACACCTAGCTTCAAACCTGAACAGAATTTAATATTGAATTTGATTAATATTAAGTTAAATAATTGTTCTTAATTTTATCCTGTTTCATAATTTATTCTTAGTTATATTATGCTATTTATGTGTTTTACGAATTTATTGTTTTCGTTTCATTTTTTTACGACTTACCAAATCATATATTTATTATTTAGAAATATCTCATTAGGTTTTTACGTCGTATATTTTTTTAAAGCTTATTATTTATGGCTTAGATATAATTAAACAACATTAGCTAACAAAGAAATCTTTTAATGTAATCATTATTCAGTACGTCGATCGTTTAATTATAAATATTTATATGTAACGATGATTTATATTTATTTTTCTCATTAAATCATATTTATGTTTCAGAAATACAGAATGTGTCTGCTCTTCTACCAACAGTGATACCAGGTGTTAATAATCAATTCTAGTCGATATCTATTTATAACAATAAATAAATACTTGGCATTAATTGGATCTAGTAATAATCTGTGTATATGAAATCTATAAATATAATTTTGACAAATATTGTTTTACTTATGCGCCGCATTGTAAAATCACACATTATTTGATAATAATCCAGGATAATTAAGTCTGGAAACACTTGTCGTAACAATAAATTCAACAGTTCGCCTTGAGAATAATACTTGTACATAATTTCCATGTTTTTTTTTGTTTTTTAACTAAAAAGATACTATTTATTCGCGCCTATGCTAGGACTTTCCATTCTGATTGGGAGGACGACAGACCAAGACCAAAAAAAAAAAAAAAATGTCTCAGCAGTTTATATGTTGTAAAAAAATTATGAGAAATAATTAACATTATTATTGTAAAACGACAATACTATATATAAAAATAAACTTATATATATATATATATATATATATATATATATATATATATATGTTTTATTTATTTTTTTGCGTATTTAAAAATATGTTCACAAATCAATTGAATATACTAAATATTTTTATTTTTATTTAAAGGCTTGAGGCAGTGAGATTAACTCTCAATTATATGATGCTTCAAGTTTTCCGGAAAATCTTTAATGATAAGTCTTCGCGTAAAAATTGAATGGTCAGTATAGGACTTCAGTGGGAGTCTTGGGCCAACGAAAAAAAAATTGAAGTTTCCACATGAATGAGTCATAAAATCCTAGGATATGCTTCTACATATAATTATATTTGAAAATATAAACTAAAATTTCAATAATAGGAACATAGGGCGTGGTAAAACTCTAGTTTTCCTATTTTCTTAATTAATTTTATTTTAAATATTTTATTTATTCATATAAATTAATTTTTATTGTTTAATTTTTAAAAATCTCGAAATGCAGAAGAAGAGGGGCGAAGCGAAACTATATTCTCGCCTATCTTTATTTTTATTTGTTGAAGGGCGTTCGCCTCACTCGCGCCCCGAAATCTGCGCCTGTGTTTACTAGTCTTTACTAGTGTTGCCCAAAATCGGTCTTGGTCTTGCACTTTGCAAGACCAAGACCAAGGCCGGCTAACTGTTGCAAGACCAAGACCAGGACTGGTAAAAAAAAATCGATGTTTTTAATAAAAAAGTAAGGCAAAATAGTTACTTAACACTCGACAATCTTAGTTATTATATGTAAATAATTGGTATAACCAATATAGTTTTGCATTTAATTCCTCTAATTTTTCATTCAGGCTTAGTTAGGTTTCTCCTATCTACAAAATACAGTACTGTAACTGTTGCGAGACTCTTGTGCAAGACCAAGACCATGACCAAACTGAATTTGCAAGACCAAGACTCGTCTGGGTCTCGCATTTGGGCAACACTAGTCTTTACCAACAGTTAATAGTACAATTAGATTATCGCGCTAAGGGGGAAACGAGGAATGATGAGCTGTGAATTAATGACCCTTAATTCAAGGATCACTTGAAATAAAGTGACATTGAATTTGAAATAGTAGTATACATTTCATACAATAAACAGGTTATTCAGCTATGCAAGTGATTAAAAAAAAAAAAATGTATGCTTTTAAACGTGGAGTAATAACCTTGATGGTAAAGTTAACATTCTCTTCATGATTATGGACAGCAATGGAATAATCAACATTTTTTTCTTACAGACATTCATTTTCATTATTATTTATTTACTGTTAGAGTTATCATAACTACGTTTGCATTAGCCACAATGGATTGATCTATACTCATTTACAAATGAAGTGGATCGTTCCATTAACTGTTCATAAAATTGCGGAAAAATCTTGACTTAAAAGAGTAGAATTTATTTACCATTCACTATGGCAAATAAAACAGTGTCCTATATTATTTAAACTGGCTCTCAATTTTCGATATTTGCCGTCAATTTTACATAGGGTAAGATGGGTTAACTTAGGGACTGGGTGGGTAACTTTGGAACAGTGGGTAAAATTTAGTTTGTGGTGATTCCGTGGTGGATACACTGTGTTGGTTTAAGCAGCATGGACTGCGCTACTGTCTTGCGGCACATTACTCTTGAGGCACAAGTGAATGTTTCATGGAACCAAGAATTTTGAAAAAAGAAATGGAAATATATAAAACCTAACTGTACAACGAGTGTAATGTCTATACAAAGCACGCTTTTGCATACTGAATTAACACAATGTATCCACCACAAACTAAATTTTACTCGCTGTCCTAAAGTTAGCCCATCTTACGATATATTGTTTGTATTTTTTCCGACTAATTATTATTATTTTAATTACTTCGATGCATAAACACACGTTTAATGCCATTTTCCATAAAAATATTCATCGATATATTGACTTTTGTCCCGCTAGATTGTCTGGGACAGCCCGCTGTGCTTTGTGTTCTGGTAGTAATTAATGCTCGAGGTGAACCAACAAGTTACTAAAACAAAAAAAATAATAAAGTTTTTCAAAAGTTTAAAGTTACTTTATTTACTTTTTAATTTCTAAACTCCCAAAAAACAATTTAAACAGATTTTAATTTTTTTTAAAACAAATTTTCTTGATTTATTATTTATTATTAAAACCTTGGCTTGAAATAAAATAGTTTTTTTATTCACGATTTTAAGTCTTTTCATGACCGCTGCTCCGGACCACCTCAATCCTCAATAATATACAACGGTCAACCATCGAGTATTCAAAAGTCAATTACCTTTTAATAATAAAAATCATTAAATTAGAATAAAGTTTTTTTTTCCTTCTTATTTTGAATGATCCACTTAATTTGCAGATGATTATGTTTTCAACAATATAAAGATTTAATAATCATTTGAATGAAGATAATACTGATAATAAAATAATATAGTTACCTCTTGCGAAAGTACACTTGATTGACTGGACGAATGTAGTGAATTCCTTAAATGGTTTGATACTTTATTTTATTTATTCAATAAAATACTTTATTTATTCTCAAAGGTTGAGAAAACGGTGTTATATACTGAATAATTCCAAATCTAAACGGTGAGACCATATTTCCTTTTATTTTATTTATTTATTTATTCTTGGCGCTACGGTCCTGTAACAACCTGGACCTTTCTTATGATCCTTCAGACTGTCCTCTACCTGGTCCAGCCAACTCAGGCGTGGTCTTCCTCTTCCACGTTTTCCAGCTGGCCGATCCTTTGGGAATCGCATCTCTGGACATACGCGCCATATGGTCCAACCATCTGATCTGGTTTATCCTCACAATTGAGACCAAATCCTGCCTCGTATACATCTCACGCAGCTCTTCGCACACTGGAACATAGATACTGAGGAGAACCCTTCTCTCCCATGCGAGTAGCCTATTTTTCCGAAGCTTTGGAGATCACCCAACCCAGAACCATAGGTGAGGCTGATGACTTTCTCACACACCATGTGACCTTTGTTCTGTAACAAAGGTACCTGTAATTCAATATTTTTCGCATTATAAAATAGCACCTATTCGCGCCTTATTGCTTTCAATTCTTCCATCATTTCATTATATTCGGTAGTTAGTGCTTCCAAATATATAAAGCTTTCGACCAATTTTAGGGCGTGGTTACCAATTGTGACGCGTTCAACTGTTTCACTGCACTTTTTTGACGTTTGCATGTAAACAGTCTTCTGTTTATTTATTTGTAGTCCTAGCTCTTTCGTTTCGGTTTCAAATTCTTCTTATGTCCCTACTAATGCTGTTTTATTTTTTACCGTTATTATAACATCATCAGCAAAAGCCAGATGCTGTGTCATTCTATCATTGATGGTGCCAACAGGATCTGGCCGAATCGCCCTTATTGCCTACTCTAAAGCAGTATTAAATAGAGTAGAGGATAAAGGATCCTTGCCTAACCCCATCTTTCACTTCGTATTCCTCCGACAATAGGCAATGGATCTTCACAACTGATCTACTACCGCTTAGGGTCATTCTTGTCAAAGTGACCATTTTATTCGGAATTCCCAATTTTTTCACCATCTTCAGTAATTCTCCCTTGTTTATACTTCATATGCCTGTTTAAAATCTATGAAAACGTGATATATTGGTACTCGCATGTTTTTTATAACATTTGCCAGGCCTAAAACCACACTGGTATTTACCCAAAATCTTCACGGACAAAAATTGAACTTTTTTATTTAACAGAACTGCAAATTCTTTGTATACTGTACTTAGCAATGATATATCTCTATGCCGCAGTTTGTTTTGTCTCCTTTTTTAAAAGCAGGGCATGTGACAGCAGAAGTCCATTCTTTAGGCATCTGCTCTGTCATCCAGACCTCCATCATAGGTTGCAGATCTCTATTAACAAAGACTCTCCGTAATTCTTCACCATCTCTCCATTTATACTATCCAGAACAGAACGTCAATTATTCTTTAAAAAGGCTATTACATCTAAAAAATCTTCATGATCATGAGGCTCTACATTACAATATTTTCTACAATTATATAATAGCTGATTATCGAGAATCAATGCATGGTAATATATAATTTTGTTTTGAAAAAATAGTTATCTGAAAGCAGTTACTTAAGATAAAGCGACAAAGATCATGCGCCTCCCAGTTACGTCATCTAGTGTCGGCGTATACATTACGGTCTGATATAGGTTGACATTTATTTTTCTTCCTTGAGAAAAACTTCTATAATTATATCATGACCATGCACCGGCGTCAAGAACTGGGTTGCTAATTTAATGTCATAATCATGTGGAACAATATTATCAATAACTTTTACCAGAAATGGAATTTACCTGGGCATGGAAAATCTCGATGGGATAGAAATATTTAAGCCAACCAGTGCAGAAGATATGAGAAAATTATATTTTTTTATCTCAATTATATCAAATTATAAAGAATTGGTAGGGTAATCTGGAATATTGTCCTTTGCATATTATGGCAAAAATTCCGTATTGTACATCGGCATGTAATCTGTCCGGGTATTTTTCTTGTTTGTTCTCTTAGGTATAGGGATAGTCTTTTA